GATGCATTTATCCCTGGTATGTATCGCATCTAACACGCAGCCTATTCTTTCCAATGTCAGCTGTATGATACAGTCACCCTATGACATCGTAAACGCTGAACAATAAAAGTTGTAACGGGAAATATAATAACAAAGCAGACGATATTTGTTTTTCCATAAATGTCATTTGCATATTATGCAAATCTGGTTTAATCTGGTTATTCCAGAAATAGATCCTAGTTACGAAAATGATATTGCTGGTTAGAAACTGAGCCCATGCTGCTAAAGGCACATGCGAGGGATACATATCGTCGGTTTTTTTTTCATAATCATTCCATTATTTCCCATTTTTGCTGTTTTTAGGAATTTTTTTTTAAAATCAAAATTGTTGCTATTTAAAAAAAAAGAAGCTATTTATGGTGTTATTATTTTTCCATGTGACCTTATAATATATAGGATAAAACACGTGAATAGACGATTAAAGGTCATCTTTAAAGGACAAAGGTCGTAGTGTTGTAGTACGTGGCGTCCAAACATCATGTGGGAATCAACAAACACAAAAAGTATTATTTGGTATGCTCAATTTTGATGAAGTATCTTAATGCTATATTGCCTCTCTGAAGGATCAATATTTGACATTGGGCTATACAAAAAAGTTTATTCAGTTTTTTTGCAACATAATACATTCTGCGCCTTGCATGCAATACAAGAGATCTTAGCGATGTGAATCAATATGTCTCATGAGAGTAAAAAATCTGGCAGATAAAATTTTACCATGGCGCAAATGTTTCGCGTCTTGTGTCTAGTGAGAACACCGACAACCTCAACATTTGATGTGATGGTATGTAGAATTTGTAAATGAGAATGCAACTTCAAACGAATTCTTATGTTGTATTCTGTATATATGAAACCCGCAAATTCTTTTAAATTCAAGTTCATTGTACACTAAGAGTAATGATTGACTTATAGTTTCAGCACAGTGTTGAGTGAAGGACCAATATGTCGAATCTGCCACGAGGGGGAGAAATTGGGAGAGGCACTGATATCACCTTGTCACTGTACTGGTACAATGTGTTACCATCGTAGATGTATTGAACAATGGCTAGCCACTGCCAACTCAAATAATTGTGATGTGTGCCAGTTTGAATACAGAACCCAGAGAAAACCAAGACCGCTCTTAGAGGTAATATATTAGTTATGTGTTACATATTAGTTGACATTATAGCGCAGATGTTGTACAATTTTTAGAAATGTGATATGATAACACAATAGATGCGGTGATTTAAAATGCTGATAGGAATGTATTGTTGACAGCATATGAGTAATTGGTGAGGACACACCCTATCATATGAGAAGTCCTGCCACATCGGTGAAATGCAGACAAGTATTACCATAAACGCACCATTAATTACCCAGAATTATGTCATC